TAATTCGGAAACATGTACAACTTTTAGATTCATAAAATCTTATTCAGATAACACTCGCTGGCAAAGACCTCGGAATGATAACTCATCACATGTCTTATCACGACGTTCATAATCAATGCATACAAGCAATATCACACCACATTGGAAGAGACAACAAATCATACAATTCAAGTCCACAATTCATGCTTTCAAGTATTTCATCAATCAATCATCAAGGGTCACAATAAGGCATTATCATGTTCATCACATAGCCTTTTTCATTTCAACCCCTTTTTATTCATAGAGATATAACAAGTGGACAATTTAAACCCTTCACCTCATTCTCATTACTCCCAACACGCAATCAACGAAGGAAACATAAGAATCCAACTATAATACAAGGTTAAGGAAGTCACTTGCCTTAAATCAATCAACTATTACTCCAATAGTTGAGTCTTCCCCTGTGAATCACTTCCGAAGCCACACAATCTATAATTATCAAGTATTTATAATATTTTTTTGGAAACAACAATATCCCCCAACAATCTTCTTGAAAGGTTGGTCAATCAACACAAAATCCAATTCCAAAAGTAAGGTTTGAAATCAAAATTTATTACTTGAAGACATTACTCAAGGCTATAGGAACTCATTAGGAAAAATCATCTCGAAAAAGGTCTTAAAAACAGTTCAAAATCTCTATTTAGCTAAGAATTTGGGTTCTTGAAAAACCTCATCCTTTACCAATCAAAATCTCATATTTTGATGTTAAAACTAATAAATAATAAAAGGAAAATGAAGGTTTAGGATCAAGAGCACTTGTCCAACTGATCTAGCATAAAAATCCCTTCAAAATTCACCACCAAAGGTTCCCCAAGTTCAAAAATGGTGGAGTGGGGGCATAAACCCCAAAATTTTCAGCAAAAATCCTCTAAGGTATCGCACAAGCAACCAAGGGTTCACTTAAGCGAAGGTTGCTTAAGCGATGGTTGCTTCGCAAATGTGAAGGTCAACAGGGGTAGACCCTTCGCAATGGTGAACCAAGCCTCACTGAAGCGAACCTCGCAAAAGTGATCCAACTCTTACAAAAGTTGAGGTGCACTAGAATTTAGACATCAGAAAATCAACCAACTCTTAAAATATCGAAAGGATCCTCAGGATTCGTTCGGAACACTGCACACACAAACCACATATCCAAATCAATTATACTCGACATTCCAGACTCAAATGAACCATCAAAATATGAATTCGAGGTCTGCTTGACCCAACATCCGTGAAAACCACAAGAAACTAACTCATGCCTAAAAAGGCTTAAACAAACTCGAGACCTCTCAAACATCAACCAAGACCTCACCTAGGCCTAAATCATCTCCCGAATCTAATGGAACTTTAGAAATCCCGATACGAGCATCTGAATCCCGAATGTTGACCAAAGTCAACCCAAAGGCTAAATTTCCATAATTTCACAATTTTGGACCTCAAATCCTCAAAAAGACTCGGAATCAAAAGCTAACAACTCTCCTGGATAAAATTTCACATTTCGGGTATGATGGAATCGACAGAATCCCATTCCGATATTCAAAACTTCAAAAGACACAGAAAATCACTTTCTTAGAAACTTAGCATTTTAAACTCAAAACATACCAAAAATCTCAACTTTTAACTTGGAGTTCAAAATCAACTTTTCAAAATCCATCAAAACCAACTTGGGGTAGACATCGAGAGGGGAGAATGGTAATTTCCACGAAAAAACCAAAAATGACCGACTAAGTCATTAGAATAATATGATAACATAATAATAATAATAATAATAATAATAATAGTAATAAAAATTGAAGCCAACTGGTTATGAAACAAGTTGCGGCAATCATGAAATCAAACTACAAATCCATTTATCACATGTCATGCCTTTCAATGATTGGTAATTGTTTAGCCATCATTACCCCATAATAATTACTCCCTTGATAGATTTTGTGACCTTAGGTTTTCAGAAACCAACTTAAACTACAACATATATATTGAATATTTAAATTGCTAGTAATTCAATTCTTTACCCCACCAATATAATACAATATTGACTGATAATTTAGTATGCAACAATTAAAGTTGTGAACGAAAGATTTTGGAGCTTAACCTTAATGTCGTTTTTTGCTCCTCGTCGACGTGAACATGGAGGAGCTCTCCCAGGTTTCTTTTCTCTCTTTTAAAAATAATAATGATTATGAATCAAAAGTGCTAAATCTCACTAACTTATTCTAATATATATGGTCAAGGGTCATAGTGTATTAAAATAGTTTCAAACTTGACCCATCATAAATACTTACTAAATTAATTATTTAAAATTATTTGTCATTTAAATAAATGTAGTTAAACGAATAGTTCAAAATTTTCATTTAAAATTTACGAAAAAGTCTTTAGAAAAAGTTCTAGTGCTCAAAACGACCTGACCGGTCGTTACAACCAACATCCTCTATCTCCATATGATTGTGACTATAGATAGAAAGATACTAAAACATGAAACCTGATTGTGTCAAATTATCCAGATACTAGAATATCACACTTAATCTCCCATCAAATTTGTTGATCTATGTTATCTCTAGCTTCCAACATGAATTTTCAAGTTTGGGAACCCTCTTTCCATTCAGCAATCTGAGATCTATGCCTTTGCAATATTTATTTCACATAAAATTTGGCACATAAACTTATTAATTCTAAAATTTCATCAAAGCTTACCGTTTTGAAAACATCAAAAAAAGATCTTAACCTGATATCCCCTTCTTCTTTGGGTAAGCACAAATCAGCCCAAACCACCATGTTTTCTCTTTTCTCCCTTCTTAAAATTTCATAAAAATTTTACAAATTTTTTATGTAAATCATGTATCATATGTTTTGGAGGAGTGATGAAAGAAAAAAGATAGATAGGGGATGCCTTGTAGTACACTTTTAAGGAGATCAAAATTTTCCCTCAAAAGAAAGTATCTTTCCTTTCCAGATCTACAATTTACTATAGACCTTTTCCAATAGTGCAGAAAAATAACATTTTCTTTTCCTAGCATGTCTAATAGGACACCCAAATTAAGTAAAAGGGAAAGTGTCTTTAATACGTCATGTGCAGTTCTCTATTTGTTGAACAATATCACTAGCAGTTTTATAATATATCAATGGCTATATCAATTGTAAAGTGTTTTGGCAATGATCAATTGTAAATTGTTTCCATCAACATAAACAAAAATGATGGTATCATCTGCATAGGCCAGTACAAGTAAAACAGCAAACTCTATTAGTTGAAACATTTAAAAAAAATTATAATAGTATTATAGTAGATTTATTTTCGATTTACTTGTTAGTGATAAGTCCCTAAGGAATGGAGGAGGAAAAAGTTGCAGGCCCTCGCAGCGCAAGGCCGAGGCCCTGTGGGATTTAACTTAGTTCGAAAATCAACGAATTTGACTCCACATTGTTCACAAAATTTCAAGTTTTACCACCATAGATTTAATCCAAATATGAACCCCAAGAAAATCAATTTCAGAGAGGGCAAGGCAATAGATCCTTTTTAGTAGCCTCTTCCAGGTAAGATATCATTCTAGACCACAACGACAAACTCTACCCCTGCTTCTAATTTGATATAAATATAATTTTTTATTACACCTGCAGTGCATAACATATGAACAAGCTACTAGCAAAAATAAGATATACCTTTGCGATCACAACAAATCACCCCAAGAACATCATGATGTCTAACAAATCTTTTTTCATTTTCCCCCTTAACAGTTAGTTTCATTAGGACCGAACAATTAAGTCCGGAACTGAAATAAGTCAAGCAAGAACTAGAATGTAATAAACATAAGTTCAAGAAATCCATAGTTTCTACTAGCTAGTATTTTGAGAGCGAACAAAAGAACACGGTATTAGCTACAGCCAAGGTATCCAGTCTAACAGTGATCCCAATTCATACTTCGACCCAACAATGCCTCTCCCAAAACCTCCAATATTTCCTCAACCCATGTAGTTTAACAACAAGCTGGCTTTACAAGTAATTCCTCCGCAGGCCAAATAAAATGGTGGCCACCCCCTGCAACATACAACAGAAGTGTTGAGACATGAAAAATGCATTTTTCTATCTGCAACAACTTACATAAGGAAATAAGAAACTTAAAAAACACCACAGAAACAAAATAATTGTTCAGCATGAATTCATCTCAAGATGGCAATGGGATAGGGGACATATCAGTTGTGATTTGGTTATACTGAAGGTGGATCTCCAAAATTCAGTGTCTACCATGTTATAAATAATGGGTATCCTAGGATTCACTGTCTCCCTTACTTTCACTTCGATGCTATACCCCTATTTCAGAAAAGAGAATTTTATCTATATAATAGCTAGATTTTTTTCTGGAGCAGCATAATTGTCAGCTTTCTAACAAAGAATTAATACATTAGGGGTAAATGGAAGGGCAAACGGCTTTGGCGCAACCCACTGTGCCTCGCTATTGGGTCAAAACATTTTACCAGAACCTATTGATCCTAACATCAACTCATAAATTCACGTCGTGTTTACCTTTTCATTCACCATGTTACAAACTGGCAACACCAGTTAATCCCCCACCCCTCCCCCAAATAATAATAATAATAATAATGACCATAACACTAGCCACAAGAGCAGGGAAAAAATTATAACAGGACTACTTTGCGTGATTATCTAGTGCATTCACCATTTAGAGGGCTCACATTTGGCTTTAATAAATTTACCCCAAAAAAATACCTAGTGTAGTCCCACAAAGTAGAGTCTAGGGAGGGTACAGTGTACACAGGCCTTACCCCTACCTCAAAGGTAGAGAAGCTGTTTCCAATGGACCCTTGGCTCAAGGATGACACAAAAAATACATCCAGAAAAAAAAAATTAGTACTAGATTTACACAAGATAATTGCTACAAAAGCATGCTTAATATGCACCAAACTACCACAAAAAAAAGATGGGACTTATCCCAAAGTTTGTTGGGATAGGAAAACCAACCTATATCATCTCAACTTGTGGCAGGAAGATACACCCGTATGGTGTCTTTCATGGTAATTTTCCTCCTACAGGTAGGACATTTACCCTGAGCAGCTATGGAAGCCTTGATGCAAGCTTTGCAGAAGATGTGACCACATTTTGTTGACATCTCCTCAACTAAGGTTCCCATGCATACTGGACAGCTAAATGTGGGTTGAATTGGCTTTGGTGGTGTTGGGGGTTGAATTGGCTTTGGTGGTATTGCACTCTGTACTGTGACTACCTGGCATCAATGACAAGGAATAATAAAAACCATGCATAAAAAGACTTCAAGTAACAGACTTAAATAGGTCACATATGCACTGATAGATGAAAGTCCATGAAGATGACACCAATAATTAGGCTAGCAATGTCCTATTGAAAAGAACTGATTCCAACAGAAGCAAGAACTTGGTAATTTGAACAAGACATTTCTAATGATGGATTCAAATTGAAATCAAGGAACAAGCTACTATAAATTAAACAACTTCAAAAACCCAACAAGTGTAGGTTTGAAATAAGAAGCTAAGAAAGAACACAACTAGCCAACAAGGCCATAAAACCAGTACATCGGCCTAGAGTTGAAGCTTCTACGCTTCACCAAATGCTTTACTCCCCATTTTCAGGCAGCATATATAACGTATAATTCAATTATCTATCAATGCCATAAAACTATGGAAAAGATACATTGTGGCTAGAGTTTAAACTTCTAGACAACACCAAATGTCTTACTCTCTTTTTTCGGGCTACACACACCTAAGATCATGAAAATGATAACATGTATGTAAAAAGTTAATGGCTAGAAAGAAAGGTAAATAATACATGTCAAAAGAAATAACTAAGAGACCAAACCAACCATCCTTTGTTGCAAAAGACATGTCATAGTTATGCTGTGAACACTAGTGGCAATAGATCTTTATCAAATTTTGAACTTTATGAATATAACTGAAAAGAAATCACTTGAACAAGAACACTCATATTTTATTTTATTTTATTTTACTGCCAATAAGTGAGAAACAAATCACTTGAACAAGAACACTCAAATTTTATCATATTTTATTTCTAATAAGTGAGAAACAAGAACATTCATGTTGTAAAGAACATTCAACACAGCATAAAAAGACCTTTTCTAGTTACCTGTAAGCTGCTATTTGCTTCTAGGTTTATGTAAATGTCACCCATTACTGTTGACTGATTGGTTGAGACTCTTCTGCGCATGTTGCGACTGTTAAACGTAAGCAGATGATCCTCTGCAATAATTAAAAGTCAATCAGACCAATCTCAAGGGAGGCAAATGAAATAGCCAAAGTCAAAGTCTAGCTCTCCAAGGAGAAAGAAGTGCCCAACATGGTATTAATCCAACCACTCTGATGCTGATTCATAGAATCGTATCACATGCCTTGAATTGTCCATATAGTCTCATAGTACTTACATCACCTCCCATTTCCTCCGTAGGCGAAAAAATCACAAAAAGTACAACATAATATTATGTAAGTACTGGCAAATGTCCACTATGCTTCATCAATATTCATACTGATGTAAGCATTTAGGCATTCATTTTCCTACATGGCATTCATTTTCAACAATGAACATCAAATTAATGCTCCATTATATATGAACATATGAATATTTAATGAGGACAAATAGATCCTACGTTTAACCGGTATCTTAAAAATATAAGAGGTTTTACAGTACCTTACATATCTAATTGATTAAAAATTTATCCCTCGTTAAAGTAGCACCTAAAATAGAATTTTGTTAAACATAACAGAAGAGGGTAAATTCAGATACACCAGTACACGGAACAAATTGAGGTACTTCCAACCCGTTTCTTACTAGAAAGTTTTGATATCTAGAGCAAGCTAAAGTTTTACAGCAGCAAAAGAGCACACACGATCTACAGCTGTACAACTTTTAAGAGAAAGGTAAATTACCAGAATCCTCATCAACAAGAATAACCCGTCCATGAGTCCTCATGTTGCTGTTTTTTGCCTAGGCAAACCAAGATCTCTAATATAATTAGGCATAAGGTTGAAATACCAGGGCAATCACAAGATAACACACCACCAAAAAAATTTATTAAGGGAATCATTGGAGTTGGATAGAGGAACGTACTTCTGCAAGTGCCCTTGGGGAAGATATTATTATCACATCATCATCAAGTGCCTCAACATCAATTGGGGCAGGTGTCGAAGAAGCACCTCTTTGTGCAGGTGGCACATCCCCAGGAACAACACGACTTGAAGTTCCTTCGTGATCCCTATTATCATATTGGGGTGGCACGTTTAGATCTACATCCAGTACCGTCTTTCTTCTTGAGTGATTCCTTGTATACCTAATTGGAAAAGCCCTTTTGTCTTGAGTGCTCATTCTATGATTGCCTGTGCTTACCAAGAGCAGCTTCGGCCGTATGGATCCTAAGACGATGCCGAACATAATTATGCATCAGAATAGGAAGGACATAAATAAACTTGGAGCAACTAAAGGTGTAATTTTATCAAAATATGTCCTCACAAATGCTAATGCATAAGGAAAATTAGAAACAATCTTCAGGCATTTAAAGTTTCAAAATGCACTTTCACATAAGCTCTTGGTAAATTTGTAAAAAGATAGATGAATGTAACCAAGAAGTAACAATTAATGGAATTAGTATTTAAGCAAACAACAACATATTCTTCTTGAAGTGTCATCCCATATATTTTTACATTGAAAAAGAAAACAAAGAGAAATTCAATTCACCCTGTGATTGTGATACTAGAAGCCTTCACAAGCCATATCAAGCACTTAAGTTGATAACTTGATACTGAGCACAACTGAATCAAATGACTTTGCTTTAAGATAGTAAAAAGTTCCAAAATCAGTCTCACATATTAGATTCCGACAAGACATACATCTGATTGGATATGGTCATGAAATCAACTTGGCACCACATACAATCTTCAATAACAACAGAACAGCAGAAAAAAAAATACAATCTTCAACAATAGCAGAACAACAAAAGTTCAATGCCAAATTCTTTCAAATCGGATCCAATTAATAAGAAAAATCATAACTTGAAAGTAATGTTTTTTCCCAAACCAGTGAAGGTTACACCATTAAGTACATAATTCAAAAAAGCAACCTGCAAATTTGGTAAGATTATCCAAAAACATCGCATACAACTGTGGCAACTACAAATTCAGTACAAACTTATACTTCAGAGAGAATAGATTTCCAGTAGACGATCACAAAACAAGGGTAAAATTGAAAGTAAATGAACAAAGACAACAACTTTATCCAAATAAACAGTCAAAACAGCGATAACCAGATAGAATAAGCATAAAACAAAGAAAAAATCAACAAATTGAGAAACCAGATAGAATGGATAGAAAAATCATAACTTCAAAGTAATGTTTTTTCCCAAACCAGTGAAGATTACACCATTAAGTACAGAATTCAAAAAGGCCACCCGCAAATTTGTTGAGATCGTCCAAAAACATCACATACAACTGTGGAAACTACAAATCCAGTACAAACTTCTACTTCAGATAGAATAATTTTCCCGTAAACGTTCATAAAACAAGGGTAAAATTGAAAGCAAATGAACAAAAGACAACGAGTTTATCCAAATCAACAGTCAAAACAACGATAATTGAATGGATTAGGCATAAAACGAAGAAAAAAACACAAGAAAAAATCAACAAATTCAGAAAACAGATAAGATGTATAGAAAAATCATAACTTGAAAGTTATGGTTTTTCCCAAACCAGTGTAATGTTACAACATTAAGTACAGAATTCCAAAATAAAAAAAACCGCACATTTGGTAAGACTATCCAACAACATCACATACAACTGTGGCAACTACAAATCCAATACAAACTTCTACTTCAGATAGAACAGTTTTCCAGTAAACGATCACAACGCAAGGGTAAAACTGAAAGTAAATGAACAAAAGACAATGATTTTATCCAAATCAACAGTCAAAACAACGATAACTGAATGGATTAAGCATGAAACGAAGAAAAAAACACAAAAAAAAAATCAACACATTCAGAAAATAGATAGGATGGATAGAAAAATCGAACCAAAATTCAGAAGAATCTTGATGATTTTGACCAGCAACGATTCACGAAGTAGACAGAGAGAATGGAGGAACCATGGGAGAGGAAGGATATCTAGGGTTTTCAGAAAATAAAAGATTTAATGGGAGAGAAAATTTGAAAGAAGAGAGGGGATTGTTGTAATACGGTGTGTTGTGTTCTTTCGGGGGCTGATGACACACACTCCGAAAAGGCGTGTGAGAAAATGAGAAGCAGGTGACACAAATTTCAATTGTTTTGGGCCTGGTGGCCTTATAGCCGTGTGAACATAAACCTCCTTCCTTTACTCCCTTTGCTTCCGTGACATAACATTCTTGCATTTTTTATTAGTTTTAACAAGTGAATGAAACTCTTGACATCATAACATAACTTGGGGAATTGTGTTACAAAAAGATGTTTGGATATCGTTTATCCGAAATTGGTATACTTAAAGGCTGAAAGGGTGCTTCGAGACTTGTCTCGAGAAGTGAATGAAACTCTTGACATCATGAAATAACTTGGGGAATTATCTTACGAAAATATGTTTAGATATTGTTTATATGAAAAGTGAATATAATGACATAAAGCAACTCAAGAGTAAAGGAGTCAAATTCCAGTACTTCTATAGTGTGTGTAGGTGAGCCTGAGAGTCCTGACCCTAAATTTGAGGGTAACTTCGTATGAATATGCAAATAAGAACTAAGGCAAAATAAACATATTTTTGGTGTACAAGAAAAGTGTATATTGTTGTTGTATTGATGGGAATCAAATACTTACAAATGAGAGAGAGAACGACTACTTATAGGTTATAACAAGTGAGTCTCCACCAATGAGAAGGTTCCGCTAGAGCACCAAAGTATTAATGTCTATGTGTCATGTGTCAAAGTTGTTGGTGGCCCCAGCTAATATTCTTTCACTACTTAGGTCTGAGTGAGTTCGTCCATACACCTAACCTCTCTAACATTCTTGGCCCCTTTTTGTCATTTCTTCCGCATCATCGTGGGAATGGTCAATGATTAATCGGTAGGCATAAGGTGCATTGAGAAGGAATTGAAGGACAATGATGTGGTGGTAAATCATATTTTAAGATAAAGGGAACACTGTGACTGATTTTTAACTAACTATGTTTTTAGTTTTACAGTTAGAACGAACAAGAAAGTTCCAAAATGGAAAATACAATAATCAATGAAGCTCAATTGAATTACAAGATATGTGATAATAAGTTTTTGATACTACTGGAAGCATAATTCCAAGAAAAGGAAGACAAAATCACATGATTATAGTAACAATGGAAAGGGAATTCTTAGTTACTTGAAGATTAATGTTCAGTTGACTATGACCACACATGAAATTTGTTCTAAATTCTTGTAAATGTGGTTAATTAGATCACTATTGAGAGGCGTACCCGATGAACGGTTTGATGTAGTGGTATCATCTCCTTGGAGCTCAACCTACACAAATTGGGGGTTTATCAGATAAATCTTTCAATAATGATCGACTTAAGGGTTAGTTCACAGATTTGGTTCTTATCTTTAATGGGCATAATAGAAGAATGTTATGAGCTGAAGAAGTCTTCATCGGGTTGGATTTATGACGTTCGTGAGATTTTATGAACGCCCATGTGGATGCCGCCGAAGCTTACGCCCAAGCAAAAAAATTGCTAGAGATTGATAAACAAAAAATACTGAATCTTAGAACAATGAAGTCCCAAAATGGAAAATACAACAATCAATGAAGCTCAATTGAATTACAAGATGTGTGATAATAAGTTTTTGATACTACTGGAAGCATAATTCCAAGAAAAGGAAGACAAAATCACATGATTATAGTAACAATGCAAAGGAGATTCTTAATTATTTGAAGATTAATGTTCAGTTGACTATGGCCACACATGAAATTTGTTCTGAATTCTTGCAAATGTGGTTAATTAGATCACTACTGAGAGGTGTACCTGGTGAACGGTTTGACGCAGTGGTATCATCTCCTTGGAGCTCAACCTACACAAATTGAGGGTTTATCATATAAATCTTTCAATAATGATCGACTCAAGGGTTAGTTCACAAATTTGATTCTTACCTTTAATGGGCATAATAGAAGAATGTTATGAGCTGAAGAAGTCTGCATCGGGTTGGATTTATGACGTCCGTGAGATTTTTTGGACGCCCATGTGGATGCCGCCCAAGCTTATGCCCAAGCAAAAAAATTGCTAGAAATTGATAAACAAAGAATACCGAATCTTAGAACAAGGAAGTTCCAAGATAAAAAATATAACAATCAATGAAGCTCCATTGAATTACAAGATGTGTGATAATAAGTTTTGATACTACTGGAAGCATAATTCAAAGAAAAGGAAGACAAAATCACATGATTATAGTAACAATACAAAGTGAGTTCTTAGTTACTAGAAGATTAATATTCAGTTGACTATGACCACACATGAAATTTGTTCTGAATTCTTGCAAATGTGGTTAATTAGATCACTATTGAGAGGTGTACCTAGTGAACGGTTTGAAGTAGTGGTATCATCTCCTTGGAGATTAACCTACACAAATTTGGGGTTTATCAGATAAATCTTTCAGTAATGATCGACTCAAGGGTTAGTTCACAGATTTGGTTCTTACCTTTAATAGGCATGATAGAAGAATGTTATGAGCTGAAGAAATCTGCATCGGGTTGGATTTATGATGTCCGTGAGATATTTTGAACACCCATGTGGCTGCCGCCCAAGCTTACGCCCAAGCAAAACAAATGCTAGAAATTGATAAACAAAGAATACCGAATCTTAGAACAATGAAGTTCCAAAATGAAAAATACAACAATCAATGAAGCTCAATTTAATTACAAGATGTGTGATTATAAGTTTTGATACTATTGGAAGCATAATTCAAAGAAAAGGAAGACAAAATCACATGATTATAGTAACAATGCAAAGGGAATTCCTAGTTACTTGAAGATTAATGTTCAGTTGACTATGACCACACATGAATTTTGTTCTGAATTCTTGCAAATGTGGTTCATTAGATCACTATTGAGAGGTGTACCTGGTGGACGGTTTGATGCAATGGTATCATCTCCTTGGAGCTCAACCTACATAAATTGGGGGTTTATCAGATAAATCTTTCAATAATGATCGACTAAAGGGTTAGTTCACAGATTTGGTTCTTACGTTTAAAGGGCATGATAGAAGAATGTTATGAGCTGAAGAAGTCTGCATCGGGTTGGATTTATGACGTCCGTGAGAATTTTTGGACGCCCATGTGGATGCCTCCCAAGCTTGCTATATTTTTATTGTCATTTATGACAGGTGAGG